AGTTTTCTTTCATTTTTGCTTCGATTTCACATGGCCCAAATCATCTGCTGATAGATGATGAGTGCTCCATTTGGTAAATGAATTTGGACTAACAGGGTTTTCATGATTAACTTTGCTGTCAATTTTACCATTTACATTATCTGCCATTTTACTGGTTTCATTTGAACATTTACTTGTAAGATTATTGACAGAATTGACTTTATTAGCAATATTATTATTACTGTTATTACCATTGTTGGAGGTGGTGGTGTTTGCATTAGTTTGATTTGCTTGAATAAATAAACTTGATCCATTGGTTCCAAGGGTTGCATTGGCTCCACTTGGACTGAGAACCCCATTGAGTCCGGTTGGACCATTAAGACCATTTAGTGAACAATTGAGACCAAGAAATCGTGAAGCGCTAAAGAAGAACAAACAAAAGGAAGACAAAAAAAAGACAAAATTTGTTACACTTAATTATAATCAATGGTAATCAGCTTTGACCGGCAAAACAAGCAAAACAGAAACAAATGTCCAATAAAGTCTATTGATGGTAAAGACCAGTTATCGGTCCAGTTAACCGCCCATTCATTGTCAACACTCAACTCTTTCTTTGCCCAAACAATTTGTTAAAACAACTTCTGTCGAGTCAAAATCATAATCATAATCAAAATCATCATTAATGATCCAAAGGGTACAAAGTGTACAAAACCCAAAAGCTTTTCACCCAATTTTATGGGAAAATCATCCTTCATCTGTTGACCACAATCGGACTTGATTTACACGGATTAATGGTGAAAATTGAACCTTAAATCGGAACAGTTTCATTCATTGATCTAGTTGAAATGAGAAAGTCTCGAAATTTTTGATTCGATTTTTTGTTGCTTTTCATTTTCCTATTTTACGATTATTTATTGTTTTTGTTTTTCAAAATTGAATATAACTTGGAATGATTGTAATTAATTAAACCTTTAATTAGAATAAATGATTTGGTTTTACCTTTCCTAATCTAAATCATTAATCTTCACTAATTGCAACTCAAACAAGCTTTACAATTAATATGTAATGAAATCTGTTTTTTTTATTTGCGTTAAGAGCAAAGGATAATACAGAAACAAGGTAAAACTTTCACACCCAAATTCATTAAACCTTCAACTTGAACACTTATAATCAACTTATTATCACTCCTATTTTATGTTAATTGTTGATGAAACAAAAGCCGTTATTTCCATTTTATCGGAATAATTAACTCCAAGATTGGATTGAAATGATAATTGTTTCTTTAACCATGATTGGTATTGAATAATTTGCTGGTTAAAAGGACAAAAGGTTTCCTTTTCAAATGAATTACAATTTTCATCATTTCTTTTTGACTTTCATTGTAATACACTCTTTGCATATGTAAACTGTGATGATTGTGATGCGGATGAAAATGGATTGATGGAAAGTTGAACAAATTTATCACCACAAAGCTAACCACAGACACAGGTCATGTCAAGGTAAAGGCGTAACTCATCACCATCAATGAATTGGTGGGTTGTTAATCGGTTTAGAAGCGAAAGAAGAAGAAGCAAAAAGTTAAGTTTGGATTAAAAGGTAAGCCGAGGAGAGCAGACAAAAAAAGAGGAACATAAGTTGAAAGGAAAGGCAAGAATGAAATAAACTGAAAGAGGTGTGAATTGTTGGTCAAGTTTTAAATAACGATTAGCAAATCAACTTGACATGATCATTGACACACTCGCATTACAATGTGATTAGGTGAGATTTAACCTCATCTCAACACGATTCCCATTTACCTTGTTAATAACATTTCCCTCAGTTGGACTAGCAATTGTTGATATCGATATGTGCAACAATATTGGACGATTAGACAAACAAAAAGCTATTGAGAAGCCAAATCTTTCAATTTTTACTATTTTCGCTGATTCCCTGCTAATCTGGCTAATCTTTACCAACCATTTCATTTGTTGTACTACAATGCAATCGGTGATAATAACTTATTAACTACAATCCCAGTCAGTCTCCACATTTTCCCAGATTAAATGCATTTTGTGTTGTTGCCGTTAAAAATGTTGAATGACTTGGACTAATAACAGTAAAAACATGGAAATGGATAAGTTGGAAAATGATTATTTAAAAATTATTATCAACAAAAGTGGGCTGATAATGGTAGTTCTAACAATGAGACTGACATGGTGATAATAATAATTTGTGATAATATAATGGTAAAGGATGAAGAGTAAGTGAAAGCTTAAAAAGGATAACCATTTCCGTGAACCGCCCAAAGATCAACGTGAACTTCTTGGGTCCATTCAACGTCAATGCTTTTCTTGGGCTTCATCTTTCAACTGATTCCCTGCTGAGAGAGACTGAAATTTCTTTTGGCCTTTTTTTTTGTTCGCTTCTCATTGTATGATGAGGATGATCATCATCATGGGCATGTTGATGATGTTAATGTTGTTGATGATGAGGATGAGCACATTTTAGACATTTTTGTTTTCCTTGTTTTGCCCACAATAAGACGAGAATTACAGAGAAATGAAGAAGAAGAAGAAAACGAAACGAAACTTGGAGAGTAACAAAACTGACATTGTAATGATAATGATGATAATAATACCAATCCCAGTGAGAAGTCACGAGACAATTCAATTCTTTACCTTGTTAACAAATGGTAACATTTGTAAACTGGTCATTTTTAGGTTGCAACATTGTTGTGACAAGCTATTGGTAACAATAAGTGACACAAAATTTAACAATTGAACAAGATACTTCACACCTTTTGCTACCTACAGAAGTGTAAATATTGGTTCCATGTCAAAGGCAAGGTTAGGTTTGAGTCGAAATGAAATCAAGTTACTAAAGTTAAAAATTAGTACATTTTGAATGGTTTTTCATTTAAACGAACAAAATTTGATACAAAGTAGAATGAAAATTTGAAGAAAAGACAAACGAAACTTAAAACTTTACGCATTTCTGAGAGATAACTAAGTTCAATGGACTGAATGATTTTGCAAAAGGAAGCAAAAAGATTCAGAAATCGAAGTTGATCGAAAAGAAGAAATTAAGCAAAAAATTCAACACTGGATTGTCCGTAAAGAAAGATTTCAGTGAACATTTAAATGTTCACTGAAATATTCATTTTGGCCTTTTAATTTGCTTGCAAATTAAAAGACCAAAATGAAGTGATAAATCGTTGTAATTTAATTGCTGTTGAGATGATATCATAATTGTATATAAAAATTAATTGCTTTCTATTCGTAAAAAGTGAAAGAAGAAATTATAATGGAAAATAAAGGGAGAAGTTAAAAGGGGTTTACTTTGAATTTACAATTGTTGGCTGAGAGGAATTGATTTGTGACAAAAGCAAAGCAAATGAACAATCCTAAACAATCTGAAATGTCAAATTTTTTCCTCTGTTTCTCTTGTTTTCATAATATTTCTCTTCCTTTTACTTGCTCATTTCATGGTAAAAATTGTTGGCTCAATAATCTTTCATTTTTCACTTTTTTGTCCTCTCACCATCTTTGCTTGGTATAATTGAAATTGATTTACATGGTAAAATTGAGTAGGAATGATGCCAGTGTTTCCCTTTAATGCTGCGACTGTCTTCAAGTAAAAGTAATGAAAAGGCGTCAATTGAAAGGATAGAGGGATTCATGTTAAGGGATTCAATGACATGGAGTCGAGCAAAAAGTGGCTTCGATAATTTATTCCGCCTACTGTGAAGATTCGAGTCTTGAAACTTGTTTCTGACTTCAGTTGTTTTCCTTTCTATATCATCTCTAGCATTCAGCTATATTACAGTAGGTGACAAAAGTATAAGACCACTTAATTTTTGTGCCTAGCTCTTTAAACTTAATCTTAAAAATAATAGGAATAAACCCAATTTTTCAATGTATTCCTATGGCAATCTGATTACTTAATTTTTCGAAAATCCATTGATCATATTGCTACTGAATCTTGGAAACAGATTCATTTACATGATTTTAATAATATTTGCTCCAAAAAACTCAGAAAAATTAAATGTATGGAAAAAAATCGTGAAATTTATCAAGTGGTCTTATACTTTTGTCACCAGCAAATCTCAATTTTTTCATTATAATTTTCTAATTATTTCATATATTATTTAAAACAAGATCTCATTTGATTCAATTTTTCATGCTCTTTTCAAATCTATTATCATAATGCACACAATCGCAATAGCAAAAGATTTATAAACAAATATTAAGTGGTCTTATACTTTTGTCACCCAGTGTATGTGATAAATAACATGATTGGTAAAGAATCAGCATTTTAAGGTTAACATTCTTTAAACAAGACGAAAAGTCTCGAAATCATTCGCCGAAAAGCAAATTCCTTTCGACTTTTATATTTCGCTATTTTGACCATTCACTACATTATTATTGTTACAATTAGACTGGGAGTTAGGAAGGAAAAGTGAATAAGAAAAGGATTTTTGATCAATAATATTCATTGCAAGTTGAGTTTTCATTTCATTGACTCCAATTGAATGGACAGAAAGGATTGACATTTTTCGCCTTTATTCGCATAACTTGTTATTGATGCAACTTTAATCAGTCGATTGTAACAATTGAAGTGACAATAAAATGAATAAAATGTATTCTCATTTGAAGTAATTTCATTATTACAGATTTGATTGGCAGTTTAATGGTATTATTGGCCTCAATTATCATTATTAAAGTTAAATTATGGCGAAAAGGGAAAAAGGTCAATAAAATAATCGGAAAACAGTTTCTCTTGCAACACTTTAATCATGCTTAATGTTACATTCAGGAACTAAATACCAGGAATATTAAAGTTATATAAGATTAATGTTAAAGTGCTAATGAATAATTCCGACGCTAAACAGTGTGAATTAATCTATTAAAAGTTGAGCTTGTTCATGTATTTGCTAGTGCTTTTTGTTTGGCCTTTTTCAGCTTTTGTTTCAAATGAAAGTGATTTAACCATTTAAGAGGCATTTTGTTGTTTGTGTTTATGCCGTTTCAAGCTTCTTGCTTTGGCTTTTTTTTAATTAACTTTGTTACAATGATTATGTTGGCTGTTGATGATGATGAACAAGCCAAAAATTAATTTACTTGAAAATAATAAAATAAAAGATGAAAGATAGTAAAGTTTACTGTTTCACCGCTCAATAAACCTGTTTCAAGCTCACCTTCAAATGACCTGTTTATCCTGCTCATTAACAGGTAAACAGTCTTAATTACATCTGAAAACCTCATCATCAATTAATGAACCCAAGAAACAAAAGATAACTTCGGTAAAGGCCAAAAATAAAGTCTATACAAGTAAAAGCAAAAACAAACTAAACCCAAAAGTCAAACGCAAACTTGTTAGAACAGCTTTTCATTGAGTTCGATATCAAACTTACAAAGGACTTTACGATCTAGAAACTAAACTACTGTAAGTTAAGAAGGAGAAGTGAACAGATTCCTTATGAAGCTTTTAAAACTGTTTTGAAAACCTTCGAACTTGGAAATTTCTCAAAACTTCCAACGATTTCTTGTTATAATCAAAATGCTAGACAACGAATGAATTATTAGTTCAAAATGATCTTCTATCGAGTCAGTTTGATCAGCAATTTCATCGATAATTTGGTAATTATCAACGAAATCAATTGAAATTCCATTTCTTTTTCTAACTTTTCTTTTCTCTCGTAAGCTCGATCAAATTTTCTGGTTAATCGTTGATTCTTGTAGTTGCTTAATTACCTTGGAATCAAATTTCAATGGAACAATTAGACGTACTTGAAATACGAACTGGTCACACCAATTAAATGTCTTTAATTAACTTTGCTAATAAATGATCTTCATTAACAGTAATTAACTGTAAATTTATTTTCCATCTTTATTATCATTAACATGCATTAAATTGTCACAATTCACAGTCAACATTATAATTAACTCGTTATTAATTGGCCCATAAATACAAATAAAAAACCATTAAATTGTCAATTCATCACAATTTACAAGCCTTTTGCTAAAAACCGTTAATTATAATGAACCTCAATGAGAAAAGTGCAATTGCAATCTTTAAACAATTAACAAAATCAAAGCCTAAAGCTGAGGCGTTTACATGAACAAAATCCTACTCATGATCGCAACTTGAATAAAATGGTGACAATTTGATGAACGATTAATAACTTGAGGTAATTTGGTCATTGATTGAAGAATGAAAATTTAATTGTTTCACTCGGAGAAACCATTAACATCATTATTTAGACAAATACTCATTGTTCATCTCAACTGCTTTTCAATTTACTATTCATTATTGTTTTGTCAGATTGAAATGTTGAGAAAATCAAACAATTTAACCAAAAATTACATGGTTATTTGAATGAATAAATATTGATAAAATGGTTAATGAGCCAAATAAAGTGCTTTCACCATTCCTTTACCTGTTTAACGCTTTAATGTTAACTAAGCGTAAATGATGAATGCTCATTTAGTGTCTAAACTTTTGACGTTCAATTGAATCAAAGATTAACCATGATCATCACTTGATTCAACTATTTTTGAGCACAAAGTAAATATTAACAATTAATTGAATGGAAGAAGCATATTCAAGATTTATCATTGTCAACATGCATTTAACATTGTTAACATTTTGTTACCTTTTGACTTGGAGAAAAGGATTCAAAGTTGAAAACTTTTCTTTCCAAGTTGATCTACCTTTTCATTTGTATTTTGTATGGTTGTTACAGTGATCAATGTTATTGTGACAATTGCGATGACAGAGAAGTGACAATGAAGCGATTTATGAAAAGGTGAAAAGGCAAGAGATGGTTAAGTAAGAATGTAATTCAGGGAAGAGAAGAAGGTAAATCTGGAAAAGGCAAGAGAAAGAAATTTTGCCTTATTCACGCCTCTCTTGTGGTTTCTCACCTGCTTTAACACCTTAAAACGGCGTGAGTTTAGCACGATATTTATGTGAAGTAATGTAGATGAAAAGTGTCTTGGTAAATTGAAAGAAGAAGACGAAACAAGAAGATAATGAAGAAAGTGAGAATAAGAAGAAGAAGAGGAGAGAACAAGAAAAGGGGCCAAAAGTGGCCTTTCAAAGGTGAATTTGTTTTTCTTCGGGGGTCAGTTTCATCATCATAATCATCTTTCTTCTTCTTTTTCTTCTTCTAACCAACTTTACTTGAATCTTATTTATATTTTTTTCTCACTCTGTTTGCACGTAATTAGTGATAAAAATTGGTAAAAAGGAGCGGAAAGGTATTACGATGAGTTGATGGACGTTGTTACTTGTTAGTTGTTGGAGTGAAGCTCAAGGGGATTGCCCGTGTGGGTAATATTAAGGTTATTTTGTTTTCATCTTTTCTTCTTCTTGCCTTACTAATTTCTTGACTTACAGTATATCAACATTTTAAATCACGTTATAAGAAGAAGATGATGATTACGATGATTATGATGATGATGATGATGAGTGAGAGGGGCTTGGGTGCGGGCTTCAGGTACCCGGTTAGACGTGTATATATAACACCTCATAGTCTCTCATTATCATGGTTAAAATTGTTTTAACCAGAGTTAACCTAACCCTGGCTCTCATCTCACACTCTTGCGGCAACAAGAAGGAAGAAATGGTTTGTATACATTAGAGGATGAAGAAGATGGAGAAGATGAGATTTGGAAAAGTAATACTAGGGAATGAAGAAGATAAACTAGAGTTAACTCTGGCATAGGGCACCAGCCAATTAGCAGTTACCTGAACTGGGCAAGATAAATAATGAGTAAGGCTTTTCGTGTTGTTGCCCATCAATTTTAATCAATAAATTATCAGAGCAACAACAACAAAAACATGGTAACATCATTTGTTTCAATGCCGCTCACATCAGTGATAACCTTCAATCACCTCATTCCTTATTGACTGGGACGGCTCATCGTTTGTTTTACACTTTTCACATTCACTTCAACAGAAAACATTTGCTCATTCCTTGCATATAAGCATTTTTTACAAAACGCCCGACTTGAGAAATATTTCATTCTTAAAAAGAAAGTGTCTCAATCGCTTTGAGCTGGTTACAGCATTTAATTTGTCTTACCAACTACAACCACTCTCGTTCAACTTGCATATGAACAAAACCATCATTTAAAAGAGTAAAACCGACTGAAGACACAAAGTTTTCACAACTTTTTAACTAGAGTGTTTTTGTCTATTGAAAGTGAGTTTTGGTCATTTGAATGCTGGTTTTGTTGCTATGAAAGTTGGTTATATTCAAACGAGAATTATTGTAAAAGCTATCGATATATTATGAGCAGAAAACGCCATTTACTGTCTATTGATCAATTGTGTGAGCATTTTGTTTCACTTATTTTGTTTTGTATCCTCATTACCTTACTAACATGCGAAAACACTGATTTTTGGTAAATCTTTTTTATTTTACTTTTCATTTGCTAACTAAAGACTTTGGCAAAGTTAGATACTCATCAAGCCTTTGAGATGTTAAGATTGATTGATTCGTAGCGATTGAGATACTTTCCTCAGTTAGTACAAGATAGACTCAAACTGTTAGGTTTTTTAGCAGGATTTTGCGTTCGTTTACTTTTGTTTTGCATTTTGGCTTACATTTCAATATAATTTTGCATATACTTTTATTCATCAAATGATGATTGGACATTGTTTTTTAAACTTTTGAAAACTCGATTGGACTTTGCTTTCGATTTGAACTTGTTTAGGCTTACCTTTTCTCGTATTGCTGATGTTGCGCTCGAATTTGCAGTCGACTAACATGAACGGGAATAGGAACGTGAATCTTGTGTCCAGTTGTTTGAGATGTATTGGCTGTTCCCAATCGTTGACTTTTAACTCGCTTCCACTTGGCTCTTCGATTTTGAAACCAAATTTTAACCTGAGATTCGGATAGTTTAAGGTTATGGGCAAGGTGTGCTCGCTCCGGTAATGATAGATATTTTTTAGACTGAAATTCACGTTCCAATTCGAGAAGTTGTTCAGAATTGAAGGCAGTTCGACGACGGCGACTCGCCTCTCGACCAGTTACACCACTTTTACCATCTTCATCATCTTCGTCTTCATCCTCATCATCCGATTTTAGACTTCGCTTTAAACTTTCACTTGGTCGACTGGTTGAACTTTCAGAAGATTGTCGTTGAGAATCAATGGAGGATAAAGATGAAGAGGGCGACAACGATGAGGATAAAGATGATGATGAGGCTGAAAATGCTGACGAAGGTAGAGTTGTTGTCAATTGAATGGGTCCAGTTGCAAGTGTTGATCCAATGCAACCATTAGATTTAACATTATCCTCTTTGGTTGGTACAAGTTGATGTGTTGCAGGGTGAACATTGAGGTGAGATAAATTTGATTGAACTTGAAGATGGGGATGAACATGATGACCATTGTGAGGATGAATGTGATGAGTATTGGTAAGAGTAAAAGAATCGACGAGATTATTTGGAATGGTGTTGATCATATTCAAAGGTGAAACTTGAACAGGACTTGACCGAGACTTTGGACTAGCTTCGTATTTGACTTCATCTTCTTTAGCTAACAAACTTGCCTGGCTATTGGTATCATGGAAAAGCTCAGGATTACTGGATGGAATCAAATTGTATCCAGGTTTGAATACTACAAAGAAAATGTAAATCAAATGAAATGATCGCAAAAACAAAACATCTTTAGTAATGCACTCAATTTACTTGAAAAGGTTGATCAAAGTTGAAGATCATTAAGATTCGACTTTCGATTCAAGATTTTGTTCCAACAATTGAAAAGTTTTAACGTTGGTTTCCGACCTTTTCAATGTTCATTGACTGTTCATGAGAACCAACTTACCCAGTTTTTGTCCCAATTGAAAGAGAGAGTATAAAGGTCTTGGTCCAGTTGAAAGGGGCATTAAATAAGGGAATCCATTAAAGTCAATGAGATTTGTTTTATCATTTAACCCATTTAGTCCGAAGGGTTCCTTGACACAATCACTTGTAGCCTTAAAGGGTCCATCATGGAAATGGTCGACTGTTCGTTTTGAAAGGTGTTCCTTTAATTTGATGAAAAGTTCTTCCCATGAAGGTTGATATGATGAAGTTTGGTCAAAACTTGGAATGGGAAAAGATGAGAAAAATGGTGACATTTTACTTTCCATGATTGGGAATGACAAGTTGCACGAGAATGAAAGTTCAATTTGGAATTTAAAAAAAGAACAAAAAAAGGTTGTTTTCAAGTTTTCACAGATTGGTGGTAATCATTGTTGAATGAAGTTTCATTTCAAATGAACAAAGTTTAAACAAATTTGCAAAAATAAAACTTTGGAAACTGAAATGTTAGCAAAACGGAAAAAAAAGTTGTTTGCTTGTTAATGAATCAACTGTTTGTATTGATGCCTGGGTCATAAGTGATGATGATTAGACTGATGAGGATAAGAGATGGTGATGATGAGGATGATGATGATGTAAGTGAAGAAGCTTGTTATTTGAGCAAATCCTTGAAACTCTATAGGCTGGTAAACATTAAGGTAACAACCAGTTTAACCAATCAGAACTGGATGTTGCCACCTCCTCCAGGAAGAGGATCACTCGACCAACATTGAGTTCATTGTTATTGCTAAATTTACTGCTAAAGCTGCTAAGTCTCAGTTTGAGTATAGAAATTGAAAGGCAAAAAATCAATCTTTACCTTGAGTCTGTCGATGGCCAAAGTATAGACTTCGACTTTGAACATTTGACTTAAATCATCTATTATGACGTTTCTTCTGCTTAAACCCACCTTAAATGTAGCTATCGACCTCAGTCCCAGTTGACGTTTGTTCAACTTCCCAATACTAGTCTTACTGTTCTTACTAGAAAAATAAGAACTTAGGGGTTTGATGTTGTTGTTGTTTAACTTGATTTTGTTTTCTGATTCAACATTGGCTTTCAGTTTGTCTTGACTTTTTTCAAACCTACAACAAAGTCGAATTCCTCGCCAAGAATCATAGCTTGAGCGTTAGCATCCATTTGAAGTTTCATTTCGCATTTGTTCAGTAATTAAGGAGATGCAATTGTATTTGGAGGAGTTAAATCTATTGATTCACCCTGATAGTTTTCTTTAATTCAAGGTGCTTGACGAGATTATCGTTTATTCATCAAGAAAGTTGGACAATTTTTCGGTGTCATCAGCATAGTTATCATCGTCTTCTAATGTTCCATAACCAGTATCACCAGTATTTTTTAAACGTTTATTTCCACTAGAATTGCCGTCAGAGGTACTGCTTTTTCTAACTCATCTGAGAATCCTGATTTTAAAGGTTTTATAACCGATTCCAAAAAAGCTCCCTTGTATCTTCGGCCTCTTTTCATAGCGGTAAAAAGTCTTACACCAATCGATTGAGTTGTTGGTTTTATGATGTCTCTAAGAACATCAGTGAGAGATGCTTTTGGGTCTCGAAGACCTGCGAAAGCTTCTGTTTGCGGTCCTTTGAAATCATCTTTAGTATGAACTTTTTTCGGAGCTATGCCAAATAAACTGAAATCTTCATCGTCCATAAAATCTTCTGGCTTACTCTTGACCAACTTTTTATCCCATCTTTCTTCCTTTTTTGATACATATTGTGAAGGTATCCAACCTTTCTCGGTTCCAACCGTATTGAAATATCCGGCAGAAAAACCTCCAGTAAAAGCTCCATGAAATCGTTCTCTTCCATTCTCGTACAGGTATGTCAGCATTGAGTTTAAAAAAGTTCAGTATTTGTTTCGATAACAACAATTTGCTGGGGATATTTTACCCCGATAATCTGTTAATTGATGGAAGTGCATTGTTAGCAAGTTTTGAATTTTCAATTTCGCTTAGGTAATCGATTGTACGAAATTGCTATTACTCGCTGTCGACCTCAAAGAACCTCAAAGAACCTCAAAAGACCTCAAATAAGCTACCAAATTATCGAATAAAAGTTAACTTCGAACAAAAAAGTCTTTTCGATATTATAACCTAAATATTGTTGATACAGTTTGATAATTTAAGGTAAAATTGTTCGATCGATTGTGATTTTTCCTTCATTTATTGCTAAATTATTATTTTTATCCCGAAAGTGCAGGCAATTATTATTAGTAAAACAATGTTTAATTTACTTGAAGAGTTGTTTGTTTTTTTTCATTTCAATTTCAGGTTATTCAATTGATTATACTTTCTAATGAGATTTGCCTTTTCATTTTTGCAAAAATGTTTTCCTGAAACTGACAATTCAATGGAAGAGGCGAGACTTGAAACTGAAAAAGGCTGCAAAAAATGGTGTTTATCTATAGATTGGCCTTTTTACACTGAAGATGTTTAACCTGTCAAATACAGTTTAATTAACTGCCAATAACAATTAATTGGATTCTGATTTTCAGTCTTCAACTCGATGGTTTTGCAGGTTGATAAAGTTAATTGGTCGGGTTTCAACTAAGTTATAGTTTCGCAAAGTGATAATTGTTGTCATTATAATTGAATGTGTTCATCATTAATGTTACTGAATGACTATGTTTCATGTTCTGGCTTTTTTTGTCAACTTTAATGATCTCATTGATCAGTAATCATAATAAAGATTGGAATCGATTAACAACATTTACTCTTGTTAATTTGTTCGCATTCAATTCAATTTGTCTTGTTGCTTGGGAAACTGTTTATTGTAATTGTATTAGTTTGGTAAAAATAATGACTTCAACAGTAAATTCAATTAATTGATCAATAATAATGTTAACATGATGATAAAGTCTCACAATTTGTTGTTAAAAGTTAAACCACAAACAAGGTTAAGGAATCGATGGTTAATATTGAGATTATCATTATGATTTTTATTCAATAATAATGTAACAATATAAAGCAAAGTTATCATAATAATCAAATTATCTTTCATCGGGTAAAATATCATTTAGTTACGGTTAATAATAATGAAATATTTCGGTTTGATATTTGAATCAGTCGACTGATTCAGACAATGGTCAAATAATTCAAGAAGATGCATTTAATTTGTTTAGCTTAATATTTGATTAATGCTTTATTTTTGATACGCAATTATTAATATTTAAATACATTTGATTCAAATCATTGAAATGAAAAATCAATTTTTGAAAATGAACATAAAATATATGTACAGTAGAGACATCTAGCGAGAGCGAAACAAACTATTGATCCTTGAAAAGCGATTACGTTTTTGCAGTAACCCATAACTGTACGATAATCGAGCTAACAAGTGTAAGTTTAAACTTGTGATAGATTTTACCTGAAGCTACAAGTAATGAAATTTTAAAGGCACAGATTTTCATGTCCCTACAGCCTTAGCCATTGAAAGAGCTGCATTTGAGCATTGAATGCTGGAAAACATTTCAATTTTAAAATCATTCGTTAATCTATTTTTCAATTTCAAGCTGATTTGCTCATTTGGACTATGACTGTAATGAATTACGCCTTTCCAGCTTTTGCTGTTCTTCAACTTTACCAAACACTTTACCTAGAATTATATAAGATTTACATAGTAAATAATCGGAGTTTTACTGCATGAAAATCAAATGATTGATAAGGAAATCTCGATTCAGACATTTCTATACAAATTAACGTGTTGAAATGGTTTATCAAATTGTAATTGTTCTCAAAATCTTTATAAATACAGCTCAATTGTCCTTATTCATGATTCCGGTAAATTTACCCGATGTTTTGCACCGAACTCTATTGCTATAATACAATGATTATCGAAAGACCCGTATCTACTATCATATCAATCGCTGAGTGTTGATTCTTATTTTGGTTCTGGTTTTTGAATCAAGATATTCAGTTATGTTAACGTATTGGAAGATATTACAATGACGGTGTTAACAGGTTCAAAACCTAAACCTTTACCACATGATAATGTCAACATTTTCTCTAAAATTTTGATTCTGTAAGTATTTTTAAATCATTCATCAGTCAATTTGATCTTTCAATTGTTTTCCAATCTTCTTCAGCTGGATTTATCCTCTTTTCAAGACTGGATTCAAGAAAAAGGATTTAGACTTTCAGGATATTTATCAAGTCAGTGTTCATGATCATTCAGATCAGTTGAGAGATAAATTGAAAAGGTAAATTATTTTTCTATTTTTGTCTGTTTTCACTAAAACTAATCAACTATTGCAATATTTGATCTCGGAAAATCAATTTTCAATGCATGCTATTGATGTTTCCTTTTTAATAACTCTAATCGATTAAAATTTGTCTCAAAGCATGAAGACTCAAATGAAGTCAAGTCATATGTTCATACAATCTCATAGTTTAGTATCTGATTTTTCATCAGTAACATGAAAATCTATTTTAATGGTTAACCTCAAAGAGTAAAGACAGCTCTCTAAAGTAAACAATGAGAAACGAGGTTAGCCGTTGGTAAGCGTAAACTAGAACCCGTTAGTTCATTTTGTCAGCAAAGTCTCAGCCAGCTGAGTGAGCTTCTCTGTAAGAGAAGCTGTTTTAAATAAGCAAATAAATCAAAGAGAATAATTGGCTACTGATGAAACTTTAATCAGATAAGATAAGAAGGAGAGAAAAAATAAGGCGCCAAAAATATTCACAAGACATGAGCTGTTCGTGTTGGTTACATCACACGTGCTAAATTGTAAAGGGTATTTGTTTAACCACTTTATTTGAATTACCCTTGTTCATCTAAAAATCGTAAGATTATTAATAAATAAATGTAATAAATGAATATGAATTATATTTGTTCCATAGAGAATGGCTGAAAGAGTTGAAGAAAAATAAACCAAGTCTGGCTAAAGCAATATTGAGAGCCTTTGGTCCACAATACATTATTTCGTCTCTTGTTATTACTGGTTATGAGGTGAGTTACAGCTTATTGTTAACTTAAACTTCATCGTTTTTAGTGATTTTTTCTTGATTTGTCTCCATTTTTCACCAGCAACTTATACTTAAGATAGCTCAGCCCTTTTTACTTGGAGCCATTTTGGACTATTTCGCTGGTATAGCCTTTACTCAGGGATATGATATCTATTATATTGGCGTGGTTTTTTGTTTATGCTCAATGTTTTATATAATAAGCCACCATGCCTGGCTTGTGTACATACATCGAATCGGGATGAGAGTAAGAATAGCTGTTCAAAGTTTGTTGATGGAAAAGACATTCGTGCTCAGTAAATCAGCTTTACACAACAATAAAGTGGGAAACATTATAAACTTGATGTCGAATGATGTAACCAAATTTGATGAGGTAAAGTCACAGAATTCAAAATTTGTATTGAACTGCTAAAATTATTCTGACTCTGTGATCTTTTTTTGTAACATTGAAGTGTTCCAAGTTTGCTCATTCTCTTTTCATGGCTCCCCTTGAAGCCTTCGTCATTTCAATTATACTCTTCTATAGTCTTGGCTACCCTTATGTAATTGGTCTCATTTTATTGATAGCCTTTGTACCATTACAAGCATATATCGGCAAGTCCTTTGGTGCTATAAGACGGGTCACTGCTAAGTGGACTGATAATCGGATCAAGTTAATGGGAGAAATTATTGGAGGAATGAAGGTTATCAAACTGTATGC